CTATTGAGGGTTGCTTCAGCGGTGCTCAAGACGATTCTCGCCTCAAGACGACCGGGGATGCTTTCCGCTGGTGTAAATGGTACGTTGACGTCTGTACGAATAGTCCTCTTGGAACGTGCCGCTTTGGAGTTCTTGCCCTATATAGCTGCCGTCTTGACGACAAGATGTCGTTGCACTGTATTTGCCCGCCCACGCAGCTCGTCGACTGGAGAATACTACCTCTGTCCATGAAAACGTGCCCCCAACTCGAAATCTGAGTTCCGAAAATACCTGCCCCAAGTGTACCACTCTCTCAACAGCAAATTCACAATACAAAGATCAAGTGTTTATTAGAGGGATAAAATGTTGGCCAAGTCGGCATCGATGCCGTCGTCCAATTCCTCATCGACAGCCAACTTTTCCATCTGAGAGCTAAACTCGTACAATTAAATGGTCTTGGAAATTTCCAGTGCCAACTCTTCCACTCTTTCGTCCATGTCAGTCGCACACAGCAGGTTAAAACCATCATTGATTGTGTCAGTATCAACACCAACACCTTCAGGCAACATACCTTTCGCTGCAAGCTTCGCTTTCTTCATGTGAGGCACCTTGTAGTTGTTGTTGCCTGCCACCCGAATGACTTCCTTCATGCAACACTGCAAAAGTTGGCATTAAGTGTCATCATGTCCACCTCACGCCACGCTTGCAGGGTACCGGCAACGATGTCGTCGATGTACCGTGGGTACTTCTGTTCCTGCAGCGTCTGAATCGACCAAAAAAAGCCGAGGTCGAGCACGTTCAGGTCTGGTGAGTTCGGCGGCTGGTACACCGCTTCCATTGCCCACCCGTCGCTTTGGCACGCAGAAACGATTCTTGGGTCCATGGGCGGGACATGCGGTTTTGCGTTGTCCTGCTGGATGCGGACAAGCTATGTGTCGCCAGCCGGCCACTTGGCCTTGATGGCAGGGAAGACGTTGTCGATCAGCATAGCGCGGTAGACGTCGCGCGTCACGCTCACAGGCACGGTCACAAGTGTTCCGGCGGGACGGTTCTTGCTTGTACGGGCGGCAGGGACCTTTTCCGTAAAATGCCAGGTGCCGATCTTCCCGTCGAATCACTTGGACCGATCATTGTCCCATCGAGGACGCGCAACCGCAGAGAGGAACATAACCTTCGTAATGAAATTCTTGGACTTGCATGTTCGGTGAGGGGGCTCTTCGTCGGGAGCGAGGTAGTACGACTTGCTGACACGAGAGGCAAAGAACCACTTCTCGTCCACGTGGACAACGTTCATCATGTCGGCGAAAGCGTAGTCGTCGGGCGTAACTGCGTGAACATGGTCCATGGCCCACTTGAGGCGCACTGCTTGGTTCGCGTCGGTGAGCTGTGGCTTGATCGTACTGGTGTACTTGACGAAGATTCTGCGCCGGTACAGTAGTAGTCGTGGAGGGTGGACCGGGGTATACCCATTGCAGCAGCGATGGACCGGAACGTTTTTCGGCGGGCCTTGGGTACCAGCTTGAGTCGTTGAGCGACAGAGTCGTGCTTGAGGTTGCGACCCGAGTGGCCCTTTTTCCGCGATCTTATGTCCTGGCATGGACGGTAGAGGTTGGTGATCGACGAACGCTCGGTGCCACAGGCGACGTACAGTGCTTCTGTCGACGTTGAACGTCATGGCTACGTCGGCAAGGGCTCCACGTGGCAGAGCCTTATGGTCTACCAAGCGGGCCAAGAGTTGGTGGAGTATACCGCTGCGGTCAGCGTCGGTGAGGTCGTTTCTTTTGGCGCGCATTGGAATTTGACACACAGATTAGGCGGTACGTGTCCGGATAAGCGGCAAATCACCCGGATAAAGTCGTAACCTGATTTCCGGGTACCGTCCGTACAGGTTTGTTGTCTATGTTATCTTGTTTAAAGTATTAGGTCTTCGTTTGGTTGGTATATTTGTGATTGGGTGTATTTTGCCACGAATCCATATCATTGGTGTTCGTCGCTTCGAGTCAATCACAGGTGTGCTTTCAGAATACAATAATTCGACCAGCTTCAAGTTCATTTCTGAAATATACTGTTCGGGGCAAGTTTTCACGGACAGAGGTAGTATGCTTTATGGAAAATATCCTTTGTCAATACAGTTTCGATCGAATTCGAATTTATAGATTGGTCACATGGATTTCAAATTATACCACTATGCAAGAATATGATTCCAGACATACGTGAGGTTCGAAAAAACTGTGCAGGGAATGACGGAACTCCTTCCCCCGTGGTACTCGACCATACTTCTGGAATACAAATATAATCGACGTCCAAATCATCCT